GAAAAAGATTGATTTAGTTTAGAATCAGGGAATTTTAAATTTTGTACTATTTTGTTTTTATGTTTTAAAATGTTTTATAGTAAATAGTATTTCCTTTTTATTTTACTAGTTAAATAATCATAAGGCTGTAAAGATTATTCAATTAATATTTGGTGATTATAAATGAAAATTAATCTTATTCTGGTCATTTAACAGTAGTTTTACAGTATAAACCAAACAAAAATTGATGCAAAACATTTTATATAAGTTTGAGTGAAAATTTAAATGGCAACTTAGTTCAATTATAAGTAGTTAAGTGGTCCATTGTTTGGCTTATTTAATTTTAGTGTTCAAATATGGGTCAGAAAGAAGTGACAAGTCACAGAAGGGGAAATGTTCAAAAGTCAAAGTCAGTAATTTTTTCAGGAAATTAATCTAACATAACATTTCTACAGATCTATTCTATTTAGCATGTATACAAAATAATTTCTCATTAAACTCGTTTAATGAGAATGATCTACTATATAAAAAAAATGTAAAACCCTGTTGAAAAAAAATCTAGAGTTGCAAACAAAAGGTGATTTAATGCTGCTGAATAAAAAAAATATCAGAACTTAAGGAGCAGAAAAAGTTTTCATAGTATTACTCTGTTAGTTTTTTTTTTCTTAGTTATTACTTATTATTATTATTACTTTCTTATTATTTGTCTTTATAGTAATAAAAAATAACTATTTTTAATTACTATAAAGTTTTAGTTAAAATAATTTTAATTAAGAATAATTTTAATTAAAAATAAAAGGCAGTTTTTATTATTGTCTTTGTAGTTATTTAAATTATTTTAAATTTTTTGAGCTTTTATTCACTTCAACATTCTCTTTGTTTAGTAATTCATATTTTTTTATATTTATTTTAAGTTTATTTCAACTATTTTGCTAATTTCATCTGCTTTGTAAAATGATGTGATTGTACAAAGTAATTGATTATTTATTTTATAAATAATCAATTACTTTGTGCAAATAATAACTGTGGCTGGATAGCTCAGTTGGTTAGAGCGTCAAATAGAAAGTTAAAACTTGGACTGTTGTGTGATACGAGTTCAAATCCTCCCACAACCAACTCAGCACTTGAGTAGTACTTCGGTTTGCAATGATGTTGCTTAATAACAGGCGCTACTTTGGACTAGTCTCAATGACTATTTGTGGCTTTTCCTATGCTAAGCCAACAATATCTTCTGAGAGCATTGTCTAGAAAAATATAGCATGAAAATTTAAATAAAAAAAAATTAAAAAAATATTTAATCTAACAAATTATTTGTTTTCTATATAATACAGAAGTATAGAAATTCCTGGAAAGATACAACTTACTGTGAGACAATCAATATGGTTTTTGATCCTCTTGCTCCAAGGCTGACTTGCTATCTGCTATGACTGAATTTTATAGAGGCGGAGAGGCTAGGGCTATTGCTTTTGACATATCTAAAGCTTTCGGAAAAGTTTGGCATGATGGTCTTCTATATAAGCTTGCTTCATATGATGTATCTGGGAAAGTTTTTGAGATAATCAAATCATTACTTTCAAATCGCTTTATTAAAGTCATCCTCAAAAGCCAACACTCTTCTTCATTTTCTCTAATTTCTGGGGTACCTCAAGGTTCTATCCTTGGTCCTGTTTTGTTTCTTATCTACATTAATTATCTTCCTGGCAATCTTACATCTAAAGTTTTTTTGCTGATTAATCAACTTTATACTCCTGTCTTGACAAAAAGTCTTCTCTCTTTTCAATCACTTAGAACAGGCAGCCGGTCTCCAATCTGATCTCACTTCTGTAACAGATTGGGGCTTGCAGTTGCTTGTAAATTCCAACTCCAACAAAACTCAGTTATTTACTGCAAACAGCTATCACAATACTGTCAGAATTCCTATATTAATAAATTGCAGCCCTCTCACTGAAATTTCTTCCTTAATTCTTCTTGGATTATTGTTTACTAATGACTTTTCATGGAAACCATATATACAATCGATTACTAAATTAGCATATCTGCTAAGGTTGCTTCTCTTTATCGTGCTTGCCATCCTCTCTCTCTCTCCTGATTCCATTCTCTATCTCTACAAGTTTCCTTTTCCTCCCTGTACAAAAAACTTCATATTTAGGCTGGTTTTTCTAATGATGCTCTTTCTCTTCTAGACAAGGTTCAAAAACACATTGTAAACATAGTTGGACCCGCTCTATATGCTAAGCTTGAGCCTCTTTCCCATCATCATAAAGTTGCATCTCTTTCTCTTTTCTACAAATACTATCATGGTCGTTGCTCAAAAGAGCTATTATCTCTAGTTCCATCAACTAAAACTCATTCTGGCTTGACTCATCATGCAGCAAAGTCTCATTTGTTTACTGTATCTGTCCCTGCATGCTTTTAAAACTTTTATTCCTCTAGTTTTTTCCCATCACTTCAATCCTTTGGAGCTCTCTCCCATCTTCATGTTTTTCTGACTCATAAAGCCTACAACTTTTCAATTCTTCTGTCAACCATTTCCTTACTCTATTCTTTTTTTTCTAGTTACTTCCAATTTAATATTGGTTTCTTGCAGCTTTGTTGGAAATGAATCAGAAAAAAAGTTTAAAAAAATATTTAAATGTTTATTTTTGCTATAATCTAGTTCATTTGGAAAGATTTGTGAATATTGTGAACACAACACAACACAAAACACATAAAGTGTGAACGTTGATTTGGTGTATAATGTCTTTAGTTATTGTGTTTATGTGGTTTACATGTTTGCTTCATCTTTCTTGTCTCTTGGAGCAGGAGCTGCTTGTAACTGTTTGCAACAATTATATGACAGAAATATACTATATGACAGAAAAACAGTTTATGACAGAAATAATAGTATATGACAGGAAATACAGTATATAACAATAATACAGTATATGACAAAAATAAGCATTAAAAATGCTTCACAGAACTAGTATTTATTTCAAAACAAAACTTGACATGTAAACAAATGGATGCTGCTTGATGGGGTGAAAACATAATATAGTAAAAACATTCAGTCCAAAAAGGATCAGACTATGGAGAAAATTTGTTTTTGCACGTAAAAGTAAGGAATTTTTAAGTATCCAAGATGTTTGAATTTAAGTTGTTTTTTCACCAGCTAATTTTTGTGTGTATATATATATATATATATATATATATATATATATATATATATATATATATATATATATATATATATATATATATATATATACATCATAATTTTTGTTTTATTTTAAAACAAGGTTTAAAAAATTATTTCAACTTATGTTAATAATTTTTAAAAAAATCGTATAGAAAAATTAAGTTGTTTCATAATTTTAGCTATAATCTTCGCGTTTCTTTTTAAAATGTTTCTTATAAAAACATTCAATTTATTTAAATTTAGGCAAAAACACCTGAACAATGGGCACAAAACTGCAATGTATCGCTATCCCCTCCTTGTTTAGGTGGAAGTAAAAAATAAAAGAATCTTCAAATTTGATAAAGGTTTACGTCAGTTTTTTTTGTTTATTTGGAATTTATGGAGTAGTTTTTTCATATTCATATAATATCTTGTGGAATAAAGAGATTTAGTATTTAAAATATCTTTTAGAAAGAATAGATTTAGTAACAAAAAAGAAAATATAGAGGTTGTAAATTTTTTTTTTTTTATTGTGTCTATTTGTTTTTTATGTATTTTTTTATGGCATTTCATTTTTTTTAATGGCGAACCTATAACTGCGTCTGATAAGTCTTTTGATAGCTTAGTGAAAGTCTTTTGATAGATTAGTCGAAGTCTTTAACGGTATTTTTATATATCCATCGCATTAAGCTCTCTCATTAATATTGTTAACGACCTTACAATATGAATTTTTTAAACAGTAAATTTTCAAATTAACGATAAATTTTTTTTTTAATATTTGTTAAGTAAATGTATATTTAGTATAAATATATATGTGTGTCACAGACTGCTACGTTTAATATGTCATATTTTATAGCTTTTTCTAGTTAGTTGATTTTTTAAGTATTTCTAATAGGTTGATTTTTTAAGTACACAAAAAAAGATTTTTCTAAGAGTACGTAAATTCTAGTTAAAGCTCAAAATTCATGATGAATGAATGCTTAAAATTTATTCATGATGAATGAATGCTCAATAAAGTATAGTTTATTAACTTATAAATTTATGATATAAACTGTATGGGGTCTTCCATAAACTACGTACGCATGTAATGTGAGAGGGAGAACTATCAATAAACGTAAGAATGCGTACAAAGGGGAGAGGGTGTTAATGACAGAGTACGTAAGCAGTTTGACTCTTGTTCTCAATCTCTCCTAAAACTTCGTTCTTTTTTTAACACAAGCGTTATGTAACAAAGAAATGTCCTATTAACTAAAAGTTTTATTGTTTTTAATGTTTTGGAAAAATGTTAGCGTATAGAAAGGAGGTTATTAGTAATAATTACTGCGTACGTATGCAGATGGAGAGGGACCGTAGAAAGACAACGTTTCGTTCGATTCTGTCAAGGAGGGAGGGGATCTTAAATCTGTAGTTTTACTGCGTACGTACTTTATGGATACCTCCTATTATAATTTTATTAGAAATTATAATTTATATTGATTTTGTAAAGAATAAATTTTGTTGTTGATATAGGAAAACGTGTTTTTTCTTTAAAAGATGATGTTTTTTCAATTTTTTTTTTTTCTTTTTAATATTCAGAAAGAGATGAAAAATCAATGATCAAACCATTTGCTAAAGGCTTTATTAAATAAGCAATATTTTAAGGATATTTCCACTGAAAAGAAACAGTCTAACTTGCTCAAATTTGTTAGCTGAACATCACGTTCACAAAGAGGCAATCGAACTTGTTTGCCATTGGATTTGGAGTTGAAGATAAAATTTTTTATATTGTTCACTTTTATCTATTGTAACTATCAATTCATTGACATTTTTTTAATCTTAGCTACGCGTTTACTATGAGTAATTTAATAAATTTTAGCGGTATTATAAACATCTTTTGTTACCTGCTAAAACCACTATGATCTCTAAAGTACTTAGATGACCGTCGTCTCTACCTTTGCTGAAACCCTGCGTTTTTTTAAATAAATTGATAAACATCCCACAAATCTAGAAAACTGTTTAAAAAAAAACAGTAATCAGGAAAAAGTAAATAATTTGTGATTGAAATTATTTTTTTAGTTTTAAAAAATTATACGTGGTTGCTTTATAAACTAAAATTATCATTTTTTTAGCTTGTAATTAACCATAAATTAAAATATGATATAAAACAAGTGAAGCCACGTAAATTTTAATTTATTAAAAATATATACGCTTACAAAAAACAATTTGCGTCAAAATAAAAAATCCAAAAATTCAGTAATAATGAGAATTTAAGTTATGGAATCTTTACTTTTAATAACACCTAATATTTTTGAACGAACATGAACAAAAAAATATTTACGTTAATTTAAAAAAAAATATTACGTCAATTTTATGAAGGAAAGAGATCGTTAAGATATTATTAGGTTAAATATTCACGTGTTTTTTACCTATAGGGTTTTTTAAAACCGATAAATAAGATTTAATAAGTGATGAATAGACTTTGTGCCTAAAAAAAACTTTTCGAATATTGACTCTGTAAGACAAATTTATTTCTAACATGTTTTTTTATAAATTTTCCATGGATCATAAAAGAGAGAAGAAAATCTTCAAAACAAAAACTTTGAATTAAAAACTAAATTATCTTGTTATTCCAGACACAAAAATCAATTGAAGATGTAAAAATTACATGCGACATAATGGTGGAAATAATTTTTAATTAGGAACCTAATTTTAAAATAATGCCTTTAAGAACAACGACTAATGAAAATGATTTATTTGAAAAAATAAATATCTCTAATTGTATTATTATACAAATCAGGAGATACGTAGTCTTTAAACATTTATAAGCTAATCTCAATCCTTGTTGTATTTTCAAAACTTCTTGAGTAGGAATAGGCTATAATAGAGTATATAATTACTTAAATTCTACCAAAATTATATGTAAAAGCCAATGTAATTTCTAAAAGTGACACTAACCAGAGCATGTTATTCTTGATTTTGCCAGCAAAATTATCAAATTATTTAAAAATAAAATATTTACATTGGGGATCTTTATTAATTTGTTAATAGCTTTTGACACTGTCGATCAAGACAAGAAATTTTTCTAAAAAAAGTATGGAATACAAAATCAAGCCAGACAACAATATGCTATTATAGATTAAAATAACAGTTCAAGTTTAATAAAAACTAGATGTGGTGTACTCCGAGGTTCCGTACTTGCTTCCCTTTTGTTTCAGATTTATATTAACGACCTTCCAAATGCCTCTAACAATTGTGATACTATAATGTTTGTACATGATACAAACTTATTCTAATCCTCACAATAATCAAAAATCTATTTAAAAAAACAAATATTGACCCCAAAAAAAACTAAACATTTTTTAAATAAACATTTTTTTGACTGAACAGACATAAATTATCACTAAATATAGAGAAAAGTAAATACGTACTATCCCAGCTAGCACGCATACGTTGTTAAAACATTAGAACAATGTCGCGCGTTTCGTTGGCCCAACGTCGGCTGCGAACGTTGTTTTTATATCATAATGGTTACAAATGCGACGTCGCCAACAACTAAAAGCCAATGTTGATAAAACGTTTATTTTAAGTTTGAAAATGGTTATATTTTCTACGTTGGTTCAACGTTTTATTGTATACGTTGGCCCAACGTTGTATTTTAAGTTGGTACAACGTTGTATTTACGTTATCCAACGTGTAATCAATGTTATTCGGAATTAAATTTTCATTAAATTCTATATATATATATATATATATATATATATATATATATATATATATATATATATATATATATATATATATATATATATATATATATATATATATATATATATATATATATATATATATATATATATATATATATATATATATATACAGGGCCGCCGCGTTGGGAGGGTCACTGGGCGCAGGATCAGAAGGGGCGCACAAATGAAAACTTTTTTTTTTTAATTATTATAAAATAGATACATAGGGCTTTAATGAAAAACTCTTTAAACTCGTAATTTAAAATGAATTGTTTACTCAACAATATGGCATTAAGCGAATTCATATTCGGGAGTCTGACACTAGCCGAAACCGTTGCGGGAAAATAATTTTAAGGGCTGCTAGGTTAAAAAAGAACAAATATAATCAAAATGTATATATATATATATATATATATATATATATATATATATATATATATATATATATATATATATATATATATATATATATACATATATATATAAATATATATATATATATATATATATATATATATATATATATATATATATATATATATATATATATATATATATATATATATATATATATATATATATATATATATATATATATATATATATATATATTATGTATATACAGTGGCGATAGCACAGATTGATATCCAAAATGTAATGCTTTATTTTCCAGAGATCTAAGTTTTTGAGGCCTAAACTCTTTAGCCTAATAATATATTAGAGTAGTTAGAAAATGACGATATTTGCTCATTAGTAGTTAGAAAAGGAGAGTTCTGGGCCATTTTCATTTTCAACTATATTTTCAATCATATATTTAATTAAAATATATGATTCATTATCATTCATAGTGTGTATAAATATTATAACTAAGAAATAAATTTTTAGGTCGCTTCGTGATCAATGCTACGCTAAAAAATTAGTATCAATTTCGTTTCTATTGCGTGACGTCACAGGTCACGTGATATTCAGAGTGATCTTATGCATAGTAGAAGCATTGTCCTATCAGTGCAGCATAGCTTCCAGATTGTCCAACTTGTGCATCACCAGAGTTGAGTGTCACTACCATTCTTCTACCTATACCAACGCTAGGCATACTTTCAGATGAATTAAAGTTTCTATAAAATGAAATTGTAGTTGTTGGACCAATTGTACTAGTTGATTGATTCAACAATCCTGATACTTCATTATTAAATGAGCTTACATTAGATCCATTCCATGAAGAGAGATAAAAATCTTCTAAACCTGATGAAGCGTAGATACATCGACTGTTAACATCATATCCAGAAAATGTAGTATATCCATTATTATTATAAGGTGTCCAAGGTTGAATGACAGAGTTAGTATTGGTAGGAGCACCATATCCATCATAAATGCGAACTCTAGATTCCCACCAGTTTCCAGATCCTCCAATGACATGCATTCTTATGTAATTCAAATACACTCCGTTTCCATTATCCATAACATTCATTAGCATATATTCACTACCATAAGTTGTATTTACATATCTAAATGTTGTTGAGTACAACTTAATGGATGAGATAGATCGAGGTATTAACGGATTAATACTAGTTAATGTTTGTTGTAACGATGAAGTTCTTGTGATAAAAGGTTGTAACCAAAATGTCACTGAATTTCCTGTTCTATTGTATAATTGTATATTCAAACTTGATGTAAAAGGAAGATCAAATGTAAAATATCCTCCTAATGCACTTGTACTAAATACATTACATCCTTGTAAAGAGTTTGCATAATAGGATCCACCAAGTGGTGCAATTAATAAATCACAAGCTAAAGCTGTATTATTAATACCTACACCATCTGTTACAATAGAATCATTACCTATGCAAAGTACATTGTCAGCATATATTTTTAAAAACAAGTTACCTGGTACAGTATTAGGTGCAATAGTAGATCCTGTAAATGCAATCCACAGTTTTCTTAGAATTCCTGAACTACCACTATAGCTAAAAATAGTATATGATCCTGGAGTTGCATAGAATGCTTGAGATTTTTGTCCAAAGCATATTAAACTTGTATTGGGAATGATATCTAAACTTTGATTTTGCATATCATCAACATAGCTCTTTGTAACTGCATCCTGTGCATCAGTAGGATTAGCTACATTGATGAGTTTGTTTGTATTTAAATTTATATTAGCAGTTGCGGGATTATAACCATCGGTTCTTAGATACATACTGCTAGAAATCTGATTATTATCTACATAATGCTTTGTAGCTGCATCTTGTGCATTAGTAGGATCAACTACATTAATCAATTTATGTGAATTCAAATTTATATTAGCACTCATACTATTAGTTCCATCTAATTTTAGACATGCACTGCTAGAAATCTGATTATTATCTACATAATTCTTTGTAGCTGCATCCTGTGAATTAGTAGGATCAGCTAAATTTATTATTTTATGTGTATTGAGATCAACGTCTGAAGTCGCTTTATTGTCTACATTAATATTAAGATTTAAACTGCCACCTGATGTGCTACCAAAAGCAGATAATCCATTCATTGAACTACTACCGAATATATTAATACTCATTTTATATACTCATTATTATTTAATTTATTTTTATAATATATTTAAGATTCACCAAAGTGAATTGATGATGCTTTGAAATTCATTTCCATCATTTAGTTTTTTCAAGACATAGAGACACAAGTGTCCGCAATAGGAAGTATTTCCAAACTGAACTTGTTCAGTATTGTAGTAAACAGGACTGTGTAAGTATTGAACGAGTTCAACTGGTGGTGGTAGGCCATAAGAGTCGAAACTTAGTTTCATATCTCCGTCTTTATACCAGCAAATCCAATGAAACCCACCTGTACTTGAATCTCCAGTATTTAATATTCCACATTCTTTTTTTTGTGTATTTTTAGATCCCTTTTGAGATCCATAGCTTCTAGGTAATTCATCTCTTACAAATACACCTCTAAAATTTTTAATTTTTAATTTTTTTACTGCTTTTATTAACTGAAAGTTTGTTAATGGTACATTTGGTAATATGATTCCTTCAACATTGATTCTTTTATTCATTTTTATTAATAGTTTAAGATTTTTTAAATAAAAAAATTACTTACATATATGTTTATTTTAATTTATAATGTCCGTATGCTAGGGTATGAATTC